TTAGTTTTATGCTCCAAGTTGTTGGAAAGGTCTGCCTGAGGATCTGAGAGCTGCTGGAATTGTAAATGTGTAAGTGTGTAAGTGTAACTAAAGGTTTTAAAAAATAAGTAAATGTCCKATTAGGTCCTCTACTATATCAGTGATATTACTGCATACATGTGATGTATCTTTGAATGTTTTAAATGCTAATAGCTGATTTTAGCTTTCTCTTTTCTCTGGACGTTGCTCCTTGACAGGGACCTGGGTAAAGGAGGGACGGTGGAACACACCTTCGACAAATACTCTATAGACCTGGAACCTGGGAACCCAGTCAGAGCAGATCTGGCCTCACTACTAGTTGGCAATCGTACTAAACCTGTGTACGTGGACTATCTATGTGAAGTGCTTTGTGTTTTATTTAATACATAGAATTGTATCTTAAAGAAGGTATCTTCTTTATTTCCTAGGCTTGTTCCTAATATGTTCCCTAACTACATCCGTGCTCCCAATGGAGCTGAGGCCAAACCCGTGAGTCAACTGTATAAAGGTCAGAGTTACTTTTTAAATATATACAATATAATATTTTCTACATCTTCACATTTTCCAGGCCTTAAAGTGTCTTAATGACATGTGAGTAACCTGGTGTCACAGAACACTTTGTGTCTCACAACACTAAACAATAAATCTGTCTGAGTGCCTGTTTGTTCCACTGTTGAAGTGGTATTGTCTACCAAGTTTATTTCCCTGAGTGGGCCTGTTTAGTATCTGGATCACTCACTTTGCCATCATTGGGAGAGGTGCATTGGGAGAAAGCATGTTTTTATTCTGATTACGACATTAACGCCATTCAGAAGAAATAAAGACAAATGAGTGGTTCTTACCAGCTTTGTTATTAAGCCTACACTAAAGTCACCACATAGTAGACACACAGTGACCACATATATTCTGTGGTCATGTCAAATCAAATTTCTCTGTTAACTATTCAAAATACTGTGTAACAAAGACTGCACATGACACCTTCTGTCTAACTTGGCCGGCTAAAAAACCACCTGGCTTTGAAACATGTGAGGTTTAGTTTCAAAGTGATGTTAGACAGTGGTAAAGGTTTTAAATAAATATATATAAAAAAAGAAGTTACAACATGAAAAACCAGACCAAATCTTCAATGTTATTTTCATCAATCTATTTATGACATGATATTATATTTTACTGCAGTTGGTTGTCGTATGGATCACTATGATGAAAACTTAAATTACACATTTTTATGCATGTATTCATATTTGAAACTCAGGAACAATAATGGATTATTTCTCACCCCGCTCCATAACCCAGTGCTGCAGTCATACACACCTTCCAGTGTCTGCTTTAACACAGCTGATTGGTTGTCTTGTAGATAATGAAGACGGTTACATGAATATAACCCTGTCCCTGATGAGTGACCGCTCACTGAATGACAGTAGAAATCAGGAGTGGTGGGACATTGCCATCGCAGGATGTGCCGCCTCCTCATGTGGAGTTCTACCCATGGTCATATTCAATGACAAAGTCAGTCCACCCAGCCTCGGCTTCCTGGCGGGATATGGGTAAGAAACATACACACACACACAGTGGATATTATTATATATTTATGATTCACGAAAGTCCATAAATGATTTTAGGCAACAATTTCAAAAGAAGTTGAGGATGAGTTGAGGATGAGTCCAGGACCTGTCAGCCTTTGTTAGTAGCTGAGATTTGGGAATAACAAGCAGAACCACATCAACTGATTTAAGGATGTGCACAGGAACAAACAGGAGTCAACAAATCAGTGATACAGTTAGTATAAATAAAACTCATATGTATGATGTATTCGCCTTGAATAACTATGAATAAGTCAGTGACGAATGCAGATTAAAGAGAAGTTTATTTTTCTAAAATGTCACCAAATTCATCTTGAAAGTCTCCCACTGCTGTCTTACCAATAGATCTTGTGATGGTTTAAGGTTTAAGAGATGAGGGATTAGATCATATGGACGGGAAACAACCCCTTTGTTGTGGGGAATATTCTCCAGTATTTATCTACAGAGGAAGCAACAGAAAATACTTTTAACAAATCTGAAAGATCTGAAAAGGTGATTTTGAATTACAGGGGTAATTGACAGAAGGAGGCAGACTTATACAGATATTTTAATGATACATAATAATAATAATAATACATCTCCTATGCTTCACCCCAAAGGCATTAACATTCAGACATTGGCAAGGAGAGGAACAGAATTGGAATTTGTTTGGTTTCTTTAGTGGTGTTAAAACAGTTTCCATCTTGGCAAGTTTTGACTAGCTACAGGACTATGATTTAGACTAGAAGGGAACAGTGGGGTACAGACCAGTGTCAGGGGCACAGGTGTGTATGAGACTTCCTTCAACTGCACCCAGGTAGAGACTGAATTTCTAAGGCCATCATGTCAATGGGCCAGTGCAGTTTACCAAATGTTTCTCTTGAGTGAAGAATTCAAGGTAACAATGTGGCTAGTTCTTAAAAATACAATATTACATTGTCTGCATGAAAGGAGGGGCACTCGATTCATTCAGGCATAACTATTGTTGGGTTATGCCTTTAGGAACCCCACCCCTTATTGGATGTTAAAAACATATTCTCCTTCCAGGATTATGGGTCTGTATGTGTCCGTGGTGTTAGTCATCGGAAAGTTTGTGCGTGGCTTCTTCAGTGAGATCTCCCACTCCATCATGTTTGAGGAGCTGCCCTGTGTGGACCGCATCCTGAAGCTGTGTACAGACATCTTCCTGGTTAGTTTGTACACACACACACACACACACACACACACACACACACACACACACACACACACAGACACACACACTGTGTGTACATTTAGCACACCCATGTGCTCACACTTCAAAGACAGAGTAAGATGAAACTTCCAAATTTGTGTAAGATTTCCTTTGACCAAGAAATTTGAAATATAGCTGGTCTAATCATAAACATTTATTGCTTTTTCTTTTTAATAATACATCCATGAAAAGCACAGTGTTGTCACCGTGCCCCAAACCCCCCTCAAGACATTCATGTTTCTGTGTGTTTCAGGTGCGTGAGACAGGAGAACTGGAGCTGGAAGAGGAACTTTACTCCAAATTGATCTTCCTCTATCGATCTCCAGAGACGATGATCAAATGGACGAGAGATATCCACACCCGAGAACAAGACAGATACTGACTGATTATGTTTGGATGTGATAGAATACAATGATATCTGAAGCACACTGTAAAGATGTCCAAAGGGACTGCTCATGGGAGGCTTCATGAGGACACTCCTTATAACTCCTAGAGTGGACATGAACCTACAGCCAAGGACACACATGAAAGAAGATGTACATTAATAGATAAACTGGAAGGAACATCTGTTGCTGTTGCTTCTTCACGAGCTGCCTGAGCGCTTTCATCACACCACTTTACACTACAGACGATTAAAAGTGGAACTGCAGTCCCACTGTGGTGGGATTCATGGCAGCTCGATGTCCACTTGATGGACTACAATGTCCCTGGAAGGCACAATCAGTGGTCAAATTGAGCTGTATGTTAATGGTCAGAGGTTAAAGGTAAATCACAAAAGACATGTATTCCTAAACTCTATGCACTGTGTGGCTGAAACCTGAAACTAACTAAAGTTTGAAGCAGCTGGAGCTACTGCATACTGATTGATCTGAAAACAATAAAATGCTGTTGATCAAACTCAGAAATGTTTTCAAAAGTAACAAGCATGTCTCGTAGTAACCATATTTCTTGGACTTTACATCATGAACCAAGGTTTGACAAAGAAATTTGGATTTAAAAGGCCATTTTAGCTTATTTTTGCCTCATCAGATGTTGCCAAGTTTGCTCCGGGCCACCACATGTCCCGGGTTTAGGAGCAATACACAAGGGATCCGTTTTCTTGGGGAAATAGCTTGCTGATGTAGTTCAAGCTGGTTGCATTTGACACTTTAAAAGCCAAGTTCATTTCAATTTGATTCTTACTTAGTGGGGCAGCAACATCATACATATCTCAATAAAATAACCCAAACAATAGTGCTTGGCACATCAACTTACTGGTTCCTCCTTTGATTATTTAATTTTAGTCCAGGGCACCATTAGACAGATGTTTGATTTGAATGTGTCCAGGTAAAATGTAGAGAAGAAATGAAATTTTAGGTTTAACAACAGAAATCATTTTGGGTTGAAGTGTTGATTCACTGTCTGTACAATATGTGCAAGCTTTGCATTAAAAAAAGTCCTCTACATTGAAAAAACCTGGTGCTAGACCACTCAACAAATACACTGGTTATAAAGTGAATATTGATTGAAAAGTTAAAGAGCTGATGGCCTCTGGAATGATGGGCTGGACTCATCACTAAAAACTAATTTTACTGTCCCTTGAGCCCCTGTCCTCATCTCTCTGACTGAATTTATTTTCTTTGTTCACTTTCCTGTTGAGGCCTGTTATTCCCTCTAAGTAGAACTAAGACATGTTTCAATAACTTGCAAATATTTGTACTATTTCAATGTGTCTTTGGTTTGGACAAAGAACTGTAATGATTGCAAGGTATGTGGTCAAATCATGTGAAATAAATCTCACCAGGCTTGCGTTTGTATCACCCTCTGTGCTATTACACAATAGAATTGTTGTTGTATATGAAACAGACATAGAAGTGTTAGCAGCTCAGCTATGATGCAGATATTAAACAAATGATAGTTTTCCATCAGATGTAGCCCAAGAACCCCAGCAGTTAATTTACAGGGGATTAATTGTGTGTTGTTTGATTTGTGGTCTTTTGTGTAGTTGTTTGGGAATATGAACCACTTAGACGAAATATTAAATGATCATGGACTTAAAGTTGGTCCTGTATTATTCACATAATGAAAATTTCTATGGTGCATATTCCTAAAAAACGTTCTATAAAGGTCATCAATAGGGGCCCTCAGGTAGAGCTGCAAGTCCACTGCCTACTACACCACAAGTTTTGTAAATGTATTAAATATGAAACATGAAGGTGCTCTCAGGTCTAGACATACAAGGTTATCTTATAATCGATGAACAGGATGGGGCAAGGTAAGACAGGGGCATCTGAGAGCAGTGTTACTGTTCCTGACAGGGCCAACTCACACAAGTGAGTGGCAGTAGTTTTTTTATCCAGTGTTTTAAGTAGAGCTTCCTTAACACACTGGTTTGAATTGGCCCAACCAAAATGGTGACTGCATGAGGTCAATACATCAGGTTCTGAACAATAACATCACTTCCTGATTTGGAGTTCCACTCCACGAGTAAGATAGGATGTGTTGGCAGTCTAAACTAAAAACATAATGCAAAGATGTTTGCTGCTGTCACTTCTTCTCCAAACATCTTTGAGGAAATCAATGATGAGAATACTTTAATTTTTGACTTCACTTAATTCAGTTATTCTTAGCTGGAGGGGAGTTATTATTATGGTCTGTATTTATATCACACTTTTCTAGTCCTGATGAACACTCATAGCTGGTCTCAAAACAGTGCATCTATGTGCAGCACTTTCTCTTATGAGAGTTATTATTATGAAGCAACTGTCCGGCCTCCATCATGTTTCATATTGCCTACAAAGCTCCTGGACTTCAGTCGACTCAAGATTATTTGAATCACTGCAAGAAACTGTTGTCTCATGTCACACCAGTTCTCATACTCAGATGCATGAGGTGAGAGCTTTATTATAAGAAATGCATTGTGGTCAACTATATCATGGGTAGATTTATATTCAAGTTGCAAACCAGTAGTTCAATATTACACTTCCATCAAGTTTGGGGGCTCTGATGGCCACCTTAAAAATGAATGGACAAAATTAAAGATATCTTGACATAAGAATTAGAAAACACCGGATCCTACATTTCCCATGAGATCTTGATGGCTTCTAGTGTTTTTAAAATTTGTGCTTCCAGCTTGTTACATGTCTTTCTGGTATATAGGCTGTTTGTCTATATGTTTGAACTTTAGTCTCCAAGTCGAAGATGAAAAATCGTCATCAAGGTTATTTTCTAATGTCTAGTATTTTAACCCATGTGTACAATGAAGACAGACTTAGCAAACTCAATTAAAGAGGATTTATCGCAGGACTGTTGGGTTAGACTGATTAGTTTTATCTGTAGTTCCCTAGAGATACATCCGAAAAGTTTGATTTCCACTCAGTACCTCTCACCTTTGCTACACATACACCATCTATCTTTGGAAGTAGTAGCCTAATGGACATTTTCAAATCCTCAGATGAAACCACATCTGGGTATTAGGTTTTGACCATTTGGCTAAAATCAAACTCAGTATTTTCATAATATCATCATTCTATTAGTAAAGATTGGCTCTGTGGTGTTTGGATGGATTCCTCTTAAAATGGAACACAAACTGTGGATAGTTCTCACATTAAGGTGCTACTTCCTGTACATAATGACCAGTTTACATTTTGACTCCTGTTTCCTGTAACTAACTGTTTGGCTGTTCATAATGTGCCTTTCAGTGCATGCCATACAAAAAAGTAGCCTGATGATGAGTTTTAACATTCTGTTTCATTTTAAGTCAGATTAAATCAAATCAAATCAAATCAAATTTTATTTGTATAGCCCAAATTCATAAAACACATTTTGCCTCAGAGGGCTTTACAATCTGTACAGGTAGTGACACCCTCTGTCCTTAGACCCTCGGTTCGAGTGAGGGAAAACTTGCTCACAAAAAAAAACCCTTTTAACAGGGAAAAGAAGGTGAAAGAAAACTTAGGGAGAGCCACAGAGGAGGGATCCCTCTCCCAGGATGGACAGACGTGCAATGGATGTCACGTGTACAGAACAACGCATCAGAAACATATTGTACAATTACAATGAAAAACAATGATTACAGTAGCAGTGGTTAGCAGTGGTGGTAATATGTAACAATGCTACAATAATAAGTAGCATTTTTGGGTCCAATTACAAGAACTTCAGTTTTGTCTGAGTTTAACATCCGAAAATTGAAGGTCATCCAACTTTTTATATCCTTAAGACATTCTTGAAGTTTAGTTAACTGATTGGTTTCATCAGGCTTGATCGATAAGTATAATTGGGTGTCATCGGGATAAAAATAAAAATTAATGGAGTGATTCCTAATAATGTGTGTAAAGGAATCATATATAAACTGAATAGAAGTGGTCCTAACACAGAACCTTGTGGGACTCCCTGACAAACTTTGGTAAGTACGGAGGATTCATCATTGATATGAACAAACTGGGATCGATCTAAAAAATAGGACTCAAACCAGCTTAAGGCGGTTCCTTTGATGCCATTATGATGTTCCAGTCTCTGTAAAAGAATTTGATGGTCGATGGTGTTGAAAGCAGCACTGAGATCTAACAAGATAGGTACAGAGATGAGTAACTTTGACTAGTGCAGTCTCTGTGCTATGATGCACTCTAAATCAATTAAGAATTGATCACAATAAACTGACACACAAAACTGCTCATTTAACTTGTGTTATTCTACATGTCATGCACAGGTTGGCGATCCAATAAATGCCTTTATTTCAGGAACATTATCATTTATTTATTTTAATACATGCAAATGACTATTTCACTTTGTACTCCTCTCTTTCTCCTTTTCTTTTTCTCTCTCATTTCAGATATCTCTGACCCTGGAACCTCAGGACAACAACTTTTACCATTATTACTATTACTAATTACAATATTTCAGTAGTTACCTAGTATATGAATTGTGCCTGTCATCAATAATAATTACACTGTTATTGTTTACATTTTAACTAGTCAGATCTGATTCCTGATGGTGCTCAAGTGTACCTGGTCTCTCGCCTCTCTCTCTCCCCCTCCTTCCCCTCCCCACTATCTCTCTCTCTTCTCTCCCCTCTTTTCCACCCATCTMCCCTCTCCTCCCCATTTTTCTCTGCTCACCCCAACCGGTCGAGGCAGATGACCGCCCACATTGAACCTGGTTCTAGAGGTTTCTTCCTGTTAATGAGGGAGTTTTTCTCTCCACAGTCACCAAAGTGCTGCTCATTGTGGGAACTGTTTGGTTTCTCTGTATTAATAAGATTTAAAATTCTTGACCTTCTATGTAAAGTGCCTTGAGATAATGTATATTATGATTTGGCGCTATACAAATAAAATTTAATTCATTTGAATTCATTTATAATAGTCACACACTGTCATGGATTACTGAGACACTCGAACAGAATGAAACCTGCGTTTATTCAACAACTCTGTTTTGCCTATGATAATTCAAAATGTCTGCTGTGAAAATCCCCTTGCTGTGGGATTGTAAAAACATGTGTTTGACTGTGTCTTTAGGTTTTGACAGAGAAGTTGCAGAACACCACCATGTGGACAACAGCTGGATGTTTTAATTATTTTGGTTTGGTCTACGGCAGTCAATCAACAGGCAAAGAGTTAACTCTATAACACATTTGAGTGACAGTCCCTACATTTGCACTGTTATGCAGAAATTTGAATATTTATGTGTGTGTGTGTGTTAGTGTATTAGG